AAAAAAAAATCCAGAGTAGTTAAAAATGTGAATATTTACCTTGAGTATTTTCATTAATGTCTATGGCACTATTTATCTCGCCAAAATATACTTTTAATGAAATTTGATTTCTAGTTTTTTCTGCCAGTTTTTTTAGAATAAAGTTAGAGTTATGGGTTTTTGTAACACCATGCCAACCTTTGTTGTCGAATTCTTTTAATAATAAATATCGGCTAACATATCATATCATTGCATGTGCAGTAAAATGTGTAGACGCTTTTATGAAAGTTGTTTGCAGGTCAGTTGGTCAGCTTCTACTGACAGTGTGTGCATTAAACATTTAAGAGGCCTGTGGTTGGGAAGAAGGCTCCAGCACACAACCACGAGACTGAGTGTTCACGAGACACTCAGTCCTCCAGTTCCACTTCTCGCCGCTACTTGCAAACTTCTCACACCCAGAAGGCCAAGGTGTTGGACACATACCTTCCCAGCTTGAAGAGGAGGAGACTCAGTTAGTACAATGGATGTGGTTTGATGTTTTGCTATGTTTCGTTTTAGCATATTAAAGATCAAGGTGTGCTTTTGCTATACCAGATATGTTTCACTAGAATGTCTTTACAATTCATTGATTTTAAATGAAGAAAAACTACATTAGAAACAATGAGTTCAATAATAAATGGTATAAATTGAAGTGACTAAAAGCCAGTTAAACCGAAACCTACAGAAATGCAAATATTAGTTTTAAAATGTACAGCTACAGCTGCCCCAATGTGAGTCCTTGATTATTTTTTTGTGATCAGATGAGAAGAATGGAGCCAATGACATGGCCAATTTCCTTAATCAGTATGAGGTGCTGCACAATAACAGGAGACCACTCAACCTGCTGGATGCTTTGGAACAAGCCAGCAATACCATTGAAGAGGACGAGCAAAAGGTAGATCATTTTCTGACATCGTCACAGTGTAAGAAGTACTAATTCACATCATGAGTAACAGACATAAAGTGTGTGAGTAATTGTGTGTGTGTGTCTGTGTGTATGTATGAGGGGGGATTACTATAGATTTTGAAGAGGATGAAAATTGGAAAGGCAGTTGGTACAAATGACATACCTGTGGAGGTATGGAGATGTATAGGAGGGAGACCAGTGAAAATTTAACCAGATTGTTTAACATAGTCTTGGAAAGTGAGAGTATCGCTCAGAGAAGAAGGATATTGGTACAGTTATTTAGGATGTGCAGAACTATAGTAACTACAGCAGGAAAAAGTTGATGAGATATACCAGCAGCTAAGGAAGATAAATATTCTTGGTGCATATATACCAATCTGTTTTAGGTATGCTAAGGCACGAAAACTAGATTTGTTTTTTCATTGAGTGTTAACGGAGAAGTATGCCAGTATGGTATAACGTTATAACCATTTTCCTAATATTGTGTTGGTTGTCCTTACTTTCCGAAACAGTCCAAAAGACCTGTGAAGGTCATCTGTGTTATCTGGCACCAATATGTTTGAAGCCAGAGTTGTGTTCCTCAAAACATTTTTGAACGTATTTTACATTATCTTGCTTAGCCATCATGGAATACTATTTCCATGAAAGGGTGTGCATGATCTGCAACAATGTTTATGCAAAATTTACATCTCAAAGTAACATCCAATTAATGATCGTCTTCTACTGTGGCTCCATTGAAAGTGTGCTCACATGCTGCATCTGTTTATGGTTCTGTAGCTGCACCATGTCACACAAAAAGGCATTTGAGAGGGTCATTAATATGACCCAAAAAAATCATTCAATTCTAATTACCTATTATTGGCAGTGGACAGGGCTTAGCATGATCACCCTGACTGGTCTGAAGCTATGTAGCCCCATACTTATATGTGATCCACTCTGTATTCTGACAGCTTTCTATCAGAATCAACCAAGACTTTTTTAGCAGTTTTAGCCACAGTCGCTTTTTTGATTAGTACACATAGGCCAGTTTTTACTCATTAGTGAGCCTTGGCCACCCATGACCCTGTCGCTGGTTCACACACTTTCTTTCTTGAACCACTTTTGATAGATACTGACCATTGCAAACTGGAAATTAATATAAACCAAGACAGGTACCATGATGAAGAGAGAATCAATCTTCTTCACTTCAGCTGTTAGGGTTCATAATGTTAAGCCTAATCTGGTATATAGAGAAGGTCAGAAGTATTTGCATTGTGTCTTTTTGGACCTCACATGGTAGCATGCCAAGAAAGGAAATATGGTACTGCAGAAATAAGTCAGAGTAAGAGCCAGATACATGAGTAGGTGTGCAGTAGGAATGACAGATGGGGATCTGATCTGGGCCACTTTTGTTTGCAGTACTAATGGTTGACAGATGAGGTCAGGCAGTAGTCTCCATGGACTGTGATGTTCTCAGACAACATTGTGAATTGTAGTGAGAGATGTAAGCACGTGGAAGACAGTCTTGAGAGCTGGAAGTATACTTAGTTTTTGATAGATTTCTGTACTTGTAAAAAGTTTATGCTGCTCAGATTTTGTTTCTTCTAATGTCATTGAAGAAGCTGGGTGTCCCTGAGGATTTGTCTCAAGAACGTAAACCCAGCAGGGCTAAGAAATTCCTGGCGGACATGAAGAAGTCCCTGAGTCAGGTCTGCTGTCACCGCATCATACGGGCGCTGCACACCTACGAAAAGACTGATGACCTGGATCACCTGCTGACTGAAACCGCATTTTTAGGCAAAGACACTAATACTCAGAATCTCCTACATGGTAAATCTTCTGCTGTCATAAATAAATAGCTGCAAAAATACCTCACTTGGTTAACACTGAGACTTTAAGAATGACAATATACTCACTGGAGGACTCAGAGTACGCTCTCTCACCTACATCTATGAAGTATACCTGCTTTGCACAGGTCTGAACTCAGAACACGTTTTCTAGATTTACGAGTAGTTCATATTACGCTCTAGGTAAAATGTGTCTAACCAATTCACTTATTTACAAATCCATTAAAGTCATTATCTTTTTTTCAACTCTTTCAAATTGAATGAAATATTTTAAATTATTATTTTTTTTAATATTAATTATATTTAATATTAATTTATTTAAAATTTCACGCCAGCAAAATAGTTGAAATATGTGCAGAATGCATTGACTTATTGAAACAAGCAGGGATTTTGATATTCAACTTGGTCATGCACAGTACAAAATTGTAAAAGTTGTGTTTTGTCCAAATGGTAAAGATGAAATGAGCTTTAATTCAAGATAGAGAGAGAACTCTTTATTGTAATTGCACATTCATACCTATCACAATAGTAAAACAAAATAGAAAAATTTCCCACGTCGGCACTACAAACCAGGATAATTGTTAACATGGATTGTTTTTAATAACTGGGTAAAAATCTCTTGCAGTCTGTGATTTCCTAAATTGTACCATCGACATCACCATATTTAATTTTTTCCCAAATTCACGTTGAGCTAAATGTGTTGCGTCAGCCTTCATACATATTGACCATGGCTTGCCCACCTCAACTTGGATGAACTGGCATATTTGGATACAGTGCAGATCATAGTTGGTCAATATGAATTTCCAGTCTTTTCTTAAATTGATTTCTCTACCATAATATGTATACGTAATGAAACTATGTACTGTGGATAGGATCATTGCGTTCTTTGTAGTTTGCCCAGTTTTTCACAATAGTTTAGGAACCCCTCAACCAATGTTAATTTTAAAAAACTGAATATACCTGTATTCATTATCAGACATTTACATAATACTAATAACAATGTCAAAGTCATAATTTGGCACCAATATAACAGTGTCTTAGTGGAATATTGCTAAAACAGTTTGTAGTTGATTGCTATTGCTGCCTTGTGTCACAGGCCTCTACCAGTTTGTTCGCCCACACCACAAAAAGAGGTTTGATGAAAATTGCCAGGAGATGGCAAGGCAGGGCTGTGGATACAAACCTGATCACACTCTGTCCAAGGATGGGGAGAAGACAGTAATGCTGCAGAACGGTAAGAAACATTATCTGATATTTACTTACTGCTCTTGTGCGAACAGATCAAGTTAAATTTTAGTTAAATGCATGCTGTGGAGGTCATATTATAGTTTGTGTTGTATCTACTCACAGACAAGTCCAAGTAGTTTGGAGATGACATTTGGGTGGAAGATGTCAGACTGGCGTATCACCTCTTCCAGGATGTCTCCTATTCCAGCAGAGAAGATGACTTGTCATTTGAGGACAACTTTACAAAAATGTTTTCAACGTTCAATAAAATAAACCAGCCATTCAGTGACTCCCGTACCTCAGCTTGGCTTCAGAGTTGTGTTCTTATGAACGTATGTATGTATATGTGGACAGTGATTGTTGAGAATTGTTCTGGCAAATTGGAAAGATAATTAAAATTACAAAAAGCCAAACAGACAAAAGCTGTCTTGGAATCAACAATCAAAACATGATCACTACTGTATAAAAAAAAA